CTACCAGGATATCTTCTAGAAGGCTTCTATCATTTTTAGTGAAATCCTTTTTCCAGGATTGCGGTGGTTACGGGATCAAGAGGTAATGCTGATAAATTCACCATTTTATTCCGATCGTACTACTAATCAATGGTTGTCGTTACTTCGAATATCTCTTCAACTGGACCCACTGGCTTTAATCTACGTTGTCCTATATTGATATTCCTAAACAATTTATTGTCGTATCCTACCTGATTTATTGTTGGCCATACTCTGGAGTTTCTGGAGGTGTTGTGGAGTCAGAATCCTGGCTAGAGCATGCTTAAATTTTCACTTAATATCTATAAACTTTAATAGCCTATTTCTCTCCGTATCATAAGTTTATCTTAACTTCTCATTGTAGGCCTGGTGAAGACTCTAATTAACTCTATATGAGTGGTAATTTATCTTAAGGTCACAGAAGGTATTTAATCACTCGTAGCCGCTTATGGTGATTTAAGGATCTGATAGTTGATTCAACCAAGAATGAACTGTTTAGGCCTTAGGATCCAATTGAATTTCACTTGATCTTGCTCCTCGTGTGGATTAATCTTACAGATTGGACTGCAGTTATGACCTGGCCTAAATCTCATTAATAATTTCAGCAGGATTCGATATTGAGTAGTGATTATTGTAATGACTTTATTGCTCTACTTCACAGTCATTGGTTGATAGTGAATCACATCGCAGAATTGACATTTTAGTCAGGCTATACCCATTTTACATTTTATAATAAGATAATGGATGGGGAACACCTATATTTGCCATTAAAATTAACGATATTACTTATTTTCAGTGTAAGTAAGTTTTGAGATTACCAGTAATTTTTGATAAATCTTTCAATGGAAAACATTTGCAATCTTAATCGATAGTCCCACTTCATATGCTATTTGAGTAACGCCTTACCTGGCTTCTGTCACATTTGACCTCTGACCCTTTGTAACCCTTGGCCTTATGATAGACTGGCAGTTTCGCCAATACAACTGTTATTTAAGATTTATTGGCAGTTTTGCAGCCTACTCAATTCGAGCATAAAGGATGCAGTTAAATTTACTACGAAATACAAGTTTGCCTCATCCCTACTACTACTAATACTACTACTACTACTACTACTACTACTACTACTACTACTACAAAAAGATGATATTGGAAACGTCTGGCCTACATTGAATTTCAAGTATGTCAGGCTCTCGTGGCAGTGTAGCGATATCTGCAAGCATGGAAATCAGAGCTTAGGCGCTTTGTTCAGGAAGCGGCAGTGTACGTTCTTCTAGGCCCTTGAGAAATAGGGCCTGGAGTGAAATGCACACTGGGACTGGAACCGAGTGAAATGGGTCAACCAGAAAGAAAAGAAACGAATCTACGAGACAATGAGGGGATCGGGATTGGAGGCCCGAGTCGGATCAGCCGATCGAAAGAGAGGGGTCGGCGTAAATAGCAAGTGTGATGAGGCCACATTAGATTTGCCACAAAAGGGCACACATTTTGACGAGTGGTAGGGCGGCAGTGGGATAAGAAGGTAAAGAGTAGATAGATATGCCAGGACATAAAGAGGAGTGATAGTTTAACCTAGTGATCCCCAAACTTTTCCTAGTCGTGGCGCCCTTTTCTAATTAAACTTTTTCCATGGCGCCCTACCCTAAGTATGACTATTCGTAAGAGATAAAAATAAATAAAACTCGTGTATCTTTATTATTTTTTCTACTTAATTAACATTAAATTAATATTTAATAATTAATGTGATAGATGAGCCTGCAAATCACTACACATTTTCTCAAATTGAAGCTTTTACAATATCTGGCGGCGCAGCAGCGCATTGTTTTAGAATCACTGGTGTAACCGTTTTTGACAGAACATTTGTCGAGGGATTGACAGCGTTGCGACAACGAGTTTAACTCACTTTTAGACTTTTCTTGTCTATATGTACCTTGGCTGCGGAAAACGAATATCTCAGATACGTGATTGTCGAACAACTAAATCTTATGGGATGTATTCACCCAATTTCGTTTAAGGTGATGAAGGATGATGAAGAAGAATTTTCTCACAATGATATGAGTTGAGCTGAAGTCTCCATTGAATTTCACATAGCTTTGCTTTCCCAAAAGTTGTTCTCATCCATGCACCAGCGGACTGCAGTTTAAACCTCACATCGGTCTTATCAACACCCTCAGCGGGAGTCGAACCGCGACAGTGCAGGATGGGAGCTTGGCACGCTAAACACTCGGCTACACTGCCATGAGCGCCTTTTGGGTCACAGGGCAAATGTGAATTATCAAGGAAGGCCAGGCCTTTATGCCAAATCATATTCTTTTGATGGAATTGTCAGCGGAGCTTAACTCATATCATTATGGAGAAATTCTTCTTCTACCAGTCCTTTATAACCTTAAACGAAATCGGGTGGATACATCTCATATTACTC